CAGTTCCTGCAGACCGCCAGCTCCCTACCCGCTATGGAACTCAGAGTATTTCCTTCACACATCCAGCTTCACTTTCTTTTCATAGTTTAATTGATAACTTAGCTATTGTTCTTTGAAAATTATTTAGAGGTGTGGAAGGTTCAAGGCCAAATTATTTTGCAGACAGTTCAGAATAAGACTTTAGCAGACAGGATTTACAAATCATTTGAAGGGAGGGGTATCTGGGATTTGAAGAGAGAAGGCATTTTGGGGAGAAGAGATAGTCAGCTAGGGGGGTTAACTCCTTTCTGTACTCTAAGGTCTTTAAACTAAAGATCCAAAACCTGGCACAAAGCAAAGAAGATGGCAATAAGAAGCCAGACACCAGAGAGCCATGAGGGGCACAGCAAGGTGTCCAGTGATTGAGAACTTTCTAAGCAGCTGCCTTCCATCCTCTCTCCCTCCTCTTCTCCCTTGTTTTTCCCTCTTTAGGCATTTCTTTGGCTTCCTTATCTTGGGTCTGCCCACTTTGGCCACAGGCTTTGACTTAAGGAGCTATTAACAGTGGGTAGAAGTTTTTCAGTCTCTTCCTACAGATTCTTGCAAGAAGAAATTAAAATTGGATTGACTCAATTCGATGGAGCCTAGTCAACCTAGCCAATGGAGCCTTGGATCAGGTATACAGCTCTGGTTTCATTAGCCTTGGCTACCCCTTCCAGGGAGACGATGATTCCCTTTCTTTTGAGTGTGGCAGAGAAGTGTGGTCAGTTTTGTCCCAAGCCCTCATCAAGGTCAAGAATGGATGTTCACATCACTGACCTGAGATCTAAGGGTCCTGAGAAATGCCTGCTGATACACTGGCCTCTCAAAGTCCTTGAATCTTCAAGGCAAGGGCTGCCTGCTTTATGGGCCTGTTTGGGCTCCAGGGCTTTCTCTAAAGAGAATGATGAGCTCTTCCTGCAGGTTGGAAATTTTCCAGGTTGAAAATTCAGCCTCTTGGCCATTTAATTCCACAGCTCCTTTGGCCAAAAAGATTACAAACTTCTTAAAAGGAGACAATCTCAGAGATCAGACCCGGTGATCTCGTCTTACAGATGTAAGAACTGAGGCCCAGAGAAAGAGGCAATGTCTCACAGAGACAGGGTCAGGTGGTACCCCAAACCCCACAAGTACCTTGTCATAACTTCTGCATAGCATGTTTTCAATGAACATTCTTTGGTTTGCCTCTTACTTCACTTTGGCTTCTCTCAGGTTCACAGTTCTTTGCCCATATCCCTTTCTTCTTCACTGATGGCCGCCTCTGGGATCGATTCGCATCCTTCCTTCCAGGCAATGGTCTTCACGGTAGTGTAATGGAAGATGAGACGAGGCAGGAGTGAAATTCAACCTAGGTCTATCAAGCCAGTATCTCTGTAGGCCAACACCACCATACTACAGGACAGACACCAGAAGAGCATCTACCTACCTTCTGTCGGGTGAGCAGCCACCACGGTAGACAATGAAGCCATTTCAGTTCCTGTCAAATGTCATGACTTTTGCAGAGTCCGAGGCCAGTATCACATCCCCATCGATTTGGGCTTCTGATGACTTCCTCCCAGTGGGAAAATTTATGTAGTTGTGGATCCATTTTCCTCCCCAAAGCCTTTTCTGATCATTGCACCTCCTGGATCCTTAGTTCACCAAAAGTCACCTTACACAGTAGGGAACTTCATTCCTTTTCTACTGTCTCCTGGATATCAACATGAACTCCCAGCTCCTGAAGGCAGCCAGCTTCTCTCCACCAGTCTTTCTGGCTTTCCCAGTAACCCTTCAGACAGTGTGTGTGAGGAGGCTGAAGATCCGCGGTAATGTGCTTGCTTAGCGTGTATGAAGTCCTGGGTTTCTGCACTGCAAAAGAAGTGGATACACAAATACATAAATGTGAAGCCTGCTGGGAAAAAAGCCGAGCTTTTCACTCGGAAATGCTGTGGGGAAAGCTGAGAGAAGGATTGGGGGACAGAGATGTGTATTTCTTTTACCAGTATCTTGGACAAGCATAGGTTAGAAGCTTTTTTGACTTCTTGAACAAGAAAGATGCTAGGTTTTCATTTATAGAATATGCTGAGACAACAGACAAAACAAAACAAATGAAAAAACCCCTCCCTCCTGCAGTTACCCAACACCAGTGTCTTTTCCCTAGGAGTCTACATTCAGCCACTTTTCTGACTTCAGCTTGCAGGTGGATGCTAGATCAACCACAAGGCTGGGAAGGAAGGTGCTGCTGCAAGCCAAGCAAGCCCAGGCCTTCTATCAGCAGGGTACAAAAGGCCTCCATCCTAAATCATCAAGGCCTGTCACCAGAGGCTACTGAAGAGAATCCTCAGCAGGAAAACACAAATATGGATGTGGGAGGAGAGAGTGACTAGAAGGTCCCAGGAAGGGCAGAGACAGTCTAGTAGCCTGGGAAAGAACAGGGATCTAGGATCTCAGAATATGGGAACCAAGAAGTAGTTTGATGGACACCTATGCAGAGTCTCATGGCATTACCCACTCTCCAAGGGGAGCCATTCTTGGGCAAGGAGACTCGGTGTGATATCTTCAGGAACAGAGAGAACATAGACCTCAGCCAGCTGATGGGGAAAGAGCAAAAATGGGCCAAGGTTCCTTGAAGACAAAAGAACTTATTTCCCATATTAGGATGAAGGACTCAGGATTCCTTCCCACTACGTCAGCTCTGCTGACCTATAATTACAGAAAAAAAAAACACAGTCATTTCCACAGACCAGAAAGATCTTGATACAGGAAAGGAACTCAACCACACTGCCCACAGTCCACAGGACAGACCCACATAAAAACCGGATCACCATGGATTCTCATAAGGCTAAGGCGGTTGAATGAGTTCCTCAAGGTCACCCTACTCGGAGGTTAAGTTAGCTGCCCATGGTCACAGCCATGAGGGATCAAGCCAATATTCAAACTCAGGGATCAGGCTGACTAAAAGAGTCCCCTCTGTTGTGCTTAGCCATGGCCCAAACCCTAGTCCCCCCCCCACAAGAGCTCTGTGAGGATGGTTTATAATCTACAGGATCGTTCAGCCTCTCCTCACCTCTGAAAGGTGAGGAGACTTAGAGCCAGGGTGAAGACAAGACCAGACAACTCATTCTCAGTTGCTTCGCAGGTGGCGTGCCTGTCACTGGATGTGCAAAACCCAGCCCTGAGAGCAAGATGAGGAAATGGGAATTTGCTGGAAGCCTAGAATCTGGTACTTTTAGTTAATAGTTTGTCAACCCAGGAAACCACCCAGATGTTAGAGCATAAAAACAACTTACTGCCGAGACAATGAGGTGTACTGCTAAGGGCAGACCCCCTTGTGTTCCTTTGGTAATGGAGAGAGCATGTTGCCGGGGGGAAGACCTGTGCCTGGCACCCAGACAGTTGGCATACAGCATACATTCTGCCTTGTACCAGTTGTTGTTTGTAGATGATGGGCAAGGTCTCTGAGCCTGCAATGCAGCTTGTTCTCTCTCTCTCTCTCTCTCTCTCTCTCTCTCTCTCTCTCTCTCTCTGTATGTATGTATGTATGTATGAGAGGGGAAGAGAGAGAGAGACAAACTGAGCAGCACTTTGGTTTTGGTTCAAGAATCAAAGGGGCTCTCCACAGGTTGTGAACTGTTTCTGTTTTGCTTTCGGCTCATGGCCTGATTTGTTTAGTGTTCAAAGCTTACTGCAAAATAAACTCCAGGTCCTCTCCAAGCAAGCAGCCCCGGGTTCCTTCTGCCCTCTAGGCTCACCCTCTAGCCATCCCTCCCTTTCCACAATGCCCTTCCCTCCAACAACCTGCCCCCTGTTCAGCCAAATAGCTGGGGGTTGCAGAATTAGCTCTCTTCTCCTGAACCTAGAACCTACCATAGCCATAACAGATACCTGCCCCTTGTTAAAAATCTTATTAACTCTTCATGCAAATACCATCCCTCGGGAAGCCTTTCCACACGTATTCCGGTTGGCTGCTCCTCCAGAGGTAACATGGTGCTTTGTGTTTGTCCCTGTACTAAGTGTTCACTTATCCCCTATTCTTCCACAGACTGTGGCCCTCCCACAAGTTTGAGCTCCTGGAGGGCCAGACTGAGGGGCTTCCTGGTCCCTGCATGCCCGTATCATTGGATGTTTTACAAATTAATCGCTCAAAATATTTCTGTAGCAGGTCCGTTCCAACACCTCCAAAATGCACCCGGCTCCACCGCTTGGTGGGACATAAAGCGTCTTATATTCCTCTTGGAGGCCTCTGCGCTAACCTCAGTTTTAATCAGAACAGTGGCGATCTGGTCAAGGGATGACCGCATTATCCACAGCATCGAATTCTTCCAGCTACGCGATGTCCCAGCTTTTTAACATGGCCAACGGAAAATTAATTGGTCGCCAAGTGCATATCTAATTACAGCATCCCGCCCCTGCCACAGCGATGCATAAACGTTAATTATAACATAGGAATCTCAATAACCTACGGTGGCACTTAATGCCGCGTTAATAACGCCACTTGTCTCCCCCACAACATCTCTCTCAGTGCATACACTACATTTTCTCTTATCTGCCATTAGGACAGACTTTACACTTTAAGCGCGGAAGTCCTCATTCTTACAGCCTGCCTGATTTTAAGATAAGTGTTTCTCTGCAAGCCGGACAGTGCCTTCACCCTCAGTTCTGTCCCCCACCATAGACTGCCCCACTAGCGCAAGAGGTCGTTGGAGGGCTATGTCAGTGTAAAAACACTGGTCTGTCCAGGCATTTCAGGCGGCATCCCAGGCGTTCCCTCGGTTCCCAGCTCTCCAGGGCCCGCCATCCCAGGAAAGAAAGGCGAACTACATTACCCAGCAGGCTTGCCGCCTCCCTCTTTCCTTTCAAGTCTTTGCACGTGGCCGGAGGGGGAGGCGGGGCCTGGACGTCACTCTCCTACATTCTCTTTCCCTGTGTCAGTACAAGGATCATTTTTTTTCCTTCCTCTACTCCCTCCCTCTGCCTGCCCCTCCCTCCCTGTCTCCCCTCCCTCCCTCCCTCCCTTCCCGACTGGGTCGGTCCGCTGGGGTGCCGAATCCCCTCACGGCTGGGACGCGCCGAACTCCCAGCAGGAGTCTGCTCTGTGGAGCCTGGTCCCTCCCTTCCCCTTCCCTGCCCCCTTCCCCCACCCCCGACGCGGGCTCAGCGCGGCGGCCGGAGGAACCCCCGAGGTGAGCATCCCTTGTCCGCCCTCCTCTTTTAGTCACCTCGGCTTGCGGGTGGATTCGGGGACCCGGGAGGAGGGCTACATGACGTGCTCTTGATTATAGATAAATCCGGGAAAACTGCTCCGAACAATTCTCCCCCTTCCCCCTTCCAGTGCGTTAGCTAGCCCGGTGTCCGCACCCTTCCACCGTCCCCTCTTCTGGGTCTAGGGGGCATCGCACTCTCGGATCTCGTCCCTTCCCAGGGTTTGTCCTGTGGTGGGCCTCGCTCCCCGCGCAGTAGGGACCGTGACACCGGACCTCCGAAACCCAGAAGGGTTCCTGGGGCTGGGGACGCGCGCCTGGAGCCCCACTCGCGTTGGAGCTGCGCGGTGTAGCCGATGTCAAGTGTGCGGGGTTCCGACCCGCCGGGAGGAAGCCCGCGAGAGAGATTCCTCTCCCTTTTGTTTTGGAGCCTCGTTTGCTGCAGCGAGCAGTTGCTCCAGCGCCAGGCAAACTTGCAGCTGTTCCGACCGTGCTCTGCGCCGAGGTCGGAGCGCGACTGGGGAGGCGGCGGCGGGCGCGGCTGCAGCATTCGGAGCTGCGGGAGGGAACCCGTGTGCGTGTGTGTGTGTGTGTGTGTGTGTCCACGCTGCCCTTCCCCGCTGGGCTGACGGATTGTGTCTGTGGTCGCGGCTGTCCCCGCCGGGCTCGGCGATATCTGGATGGCTCTCGTCTAGACAGGCAGCAGACCCCTCCTTTCGTCTCCGGTGAGCCCACGGGCCTCGGAGGGCGCGGCGGCTGGGAGCAGGGGAGGCAGCCTTGGTAGATCCATTGCAGTGGCAGCTTTGGCCATTCTCGCCGCTGTGGCGATTCTGTTGATTTTAAGAATTAGCATTCCTGTGGCCTCGGAGCAATGGGGTCGGGGGACAGAAACGCCCTGCAGATCTGGGGTTAAGTTGACAGGCTCCAAAAAGCCGATTCTTGCTGGCGAGTAACCCGAGGGCTGTGGAGTGGGCTGATGAGGGGGGCCTAGCAGGTGACGGTCACAGGCACAGGTTTTAGAGGAAGATGGGGGGGGCGGTGGCTTGGCTGAGACCAATATCTAGGGGACCCAGAGGACTGCGCGCCGGTTCCTGGATGGCATCGGAGGAGGCGTCCCTAGGACCGGGAGTCGGAACTGGTTATTTATTGGCATTAAAAGACAATTCAGGATTCAAGCCCTTCACTCGGCCTCCTTGGCTCTGGTTTTGCAGAGTTCTCAGGGTAGGGGCCAGGGGGCGTGTGAGCTGAGAAGGGGGCGCGGCATGTAGAGGGGAGGGATCGGTGTCTGTGCCCTGCGTCTCAGCACCAAGAGGGAGGCGTCGCCTCCCCCTCCTGTTTGTGTGTGTACACACAGCTTGGTCTTGAAGGGGGCGGCATAGTGGAGAACAGCGTGGGGTGGATGCTTCAAGGGATTGGCCCAGCCATCCCCAAATGGTGTGAGTTGGACTCTCTGTCTTGTATGTGTCCACGCTTGCGTTACTAAGGAATTCTTCCGCTAGCGCCGGGGAAGACCTTAAGGTGGCTTGGGCTCTCCGGATGCGCGCGGGAGTCCCCAGCCCTTTGTGGCCCTCCCTCTACGTTTTCCTCTTTCCCCTAGTCCAGTGACTGGCAGGGAGGATCCACCCAAACTCTGGCTTCCCTCCCACCCCAAACCCCGGAGCTGGGACTCAGGATCCTTGACCCTAGTACGGAGGCTACCCATGGTACTCGCGCCTGCCCATTCATTCCCTCGGCTGTCTTCCCCTATCCTGGAGAGAGAATCCACTCGTTCAGCCACCCCTCTTAGCTCCCAGTTCTTTAGTTAAGGACCAAAGTAGCCACAGCCTAGGCCCTGTCTGCCTCTGCCTGCAGGCCTGTGGGGTTACTCGCCACTGTCTGCCCCGCCTGCCCGGCTGTCATTTTTGAAGCTCTGAGATTATCCTCCTCTGGCTAGGGGCCCCTGCACCGCCTGGACACCTCGGAAACTGCAGGCGCCGGTGTTGGGAGCCTCCCCAGGTCGAAAGTGACACAGCTTAAGCACCGCCTCTGCTCTGAGGAAGGCGAGGCAGAGCACTGGGTGGAGCGATGGGCTGTCCTGCCGGGTTCCTCTTGCTCAGCGTTGGACCAGGGCCCAAACCTCTGGAATCTCTACTCCCAGCAGCCCTGGGCCGTGCAAGGAAATCGCCAGGATTTTCAAACTACCCAAGTATACAGGAACAGATTGCCCTCAACGGAGACTAGATAGTGTCAGGACGCTCTGCGTCGGCCAGAGGAAAGTCCTCTGAGTGTGTGAAATCGGACTCCACTGACACAGCAGTAGGCTCAGCTGTGTGTCCTGTGCCTGTCCTGGGGAGGACGCTCTGCTCAGAGGCAATAATTTGTCAGGAGTTCTGGGTATAGTGCCATTGAGACTTGAGAAGAGTAGATTTCTAGAATAAGAACATGTGTGTATGAATTTACAAAACAGCTCTCCCCTACATGTCATTATGTATTACTAAGAGGACCCTGTGAGGTAGGGCAGGACCAATCCCACTGTACAAAGGAGGACACCAAGGCTCAGGAAGTGATGTCACTTGCCTACCACCTCTCAGTAGGTAAAAGGCAGCTTTCCTCCTCTTGTGATTTCTCTTCATAACCCATAGCTGTTTAGTGTTGTTTAAGAAAGGGGCTTTCCTGCTGGGCAGTGGTGGCACACACCATTAATCCCAGTTCTCGGGGAGGCAGAGGCAGGTGGATCTCTGTGAGTTCGGGGCCAGCCTGGTCTACAAGAGCTAGTTCCAGGATAGGCTCCAAAGCTACAGTGAAACCCTGTCTCGAAAAACAAAACAAAATAAAATAAAATAAAAGGGTCTCCCCAGTGTTGCCTGGCCTACCACCACCTCCCAAATTCTGGGATAACAGGTGTGTACCTAGTACCCACAGCTTTTCATTTTAATAGTGAGCATTTTTTTTTGAGGGTGGGTTCTTGGCACCTCAGGAAATGGCCTGAAAAGGGGGTAAATATACTGGTACTTATTCTTTGTCAAAACACTTTGTTGTTGTTGTTGTTTCGAGACAGGGTCTCACTGTATTGCCTTGGCCGGCCTCCCTATGTAGACCAGGCTGGTCCTGTCTCCAGAGTGCTAAGATTAAAGGTGTATTCCACCCGTGCTTGCATTTAATCAAAATAAATGACAATGAATAATGAAAACGGCTATTATAAACCACAGGCCTTTATCATTCATCTAATAATTTGATGTTGATGAGTACATGCCAGCCGTGACATACCTATTATATGTCAGCATATAGTAAGCACATAGTGTGAACATGCCCTTGTGCATACAGGTGTGTTCATCCAGACCTTGGTGAATCCAAGATGTGTTGATTTGCATAGGTTTTTGTTGTTGTTGTTGGTTGTTTTGAGACAGGCTGGCCTAGGTTAGTACAGCCCAGGGTGGTCGATCTCAAACTCACAGCAACATTCCTGCGTCAGGCTCCAAGTGCTGCTGAGATTTACTCTTTGCCACTTTCAGTCCATCAAGTTAGTTATACAACTCCTCTGCCTTCCTGTCTTCCTCTCTAGGGATGGTCAAATCTAGGAAAGAGCAAAGCAATCCCTATCCGTCTGTGCAAGGGCCTCAATGTTCATGCAAAAATGAAGGGTCTCAGACATGACCTTGGAGGGAATTTCAGGTTGACAACCTGGTCAACAAATTCTCTGAACCACCTCTCTGCTCAGAAATATGTCCTGGGCACCTCCAAGCTTGTGTCTCTTGAAGAACATGCAAGAAAAATTAATACCTGGTCCCTACTATGTGTGGAGCAGTGTGATTCTCAACCTGTGGGTCACGGCCCCTTCTGAGGGTTTGAATAATGTTTTCACAGGGGTCGCCTAAGATCATCAGAAAACACAGATATTTATACTATGACTAATTACAGTAGCAAAGTTACAGTTGTGAAGTAACAGTGAAAGTAATTTTAAGGTTGGGGTGGGGTCACCTCAACATGAGGAACTGTATTAAAGGGTCGCAGCAGCGTTAGGAAGGTTGAAAACCACTGCTCTAGAGTCTAAAACTGTGTTCCAGCTGTTGTGGTCGATATGGGTGTTTTAGTTTCTCAAGTGCTTGTGATGGACCCACGTAGGCTACACAGTCCGTGTTGTTTTGGGCACACAGAGACACTACAGCAGGACTAGTTAAGTTACACCACAAAAACAGAGCCCTACGGAGGTACCCAATCATCAGTATTTTATAGTGCTTACCTTGGGACCGCGTTGGTTTCACGTGTGTTGGTGGCCAGGTCCACACTGGTGCTCAGTGTCTTAGAGCAAAGGGAGTGTGAAGGGATGGTGGGAAAGGTCCTCATGTCTCTGTTACCTGAACCGCAGGCTGTTTGGAATCTTCCAGGTGGGTCTAGAGCAGTGGTTCTCAACCTGTGACCTTTTATAAGGTTGGCCGGAAACTTTTGGAAAACACGGTTATCTACATTGCAGTTCATACAGTAGCAAGAGTCCACTTACGAAGTAGCAACAAAATGATTTTAAGGTTGGGGTCACCACTACATGCAGAACTGTATTAAAGGGTTGCAGCTTCAGGAAGGCTGAGAACCGCTGCTCTAGAGCTATGTCTGGCCAAAGATAGGCAGCCGATAGAGACTTACCCTGACGCCAACCAGCAGGTTACACTGAACCCAAGGCACTGTGAATATGTTATTTCTGCCCTACCCCCCAGCTCTGATGTGCTGTGACTCAGAGAGAAGCTGTGGTTTTCAACAAGGTCTCACCAGGCCCTGCAGGGCTTATAGGGTCTGTGCAGGCGTTAGTATGAGGTCTGTGATGTTAGTATGTTGGTATGAAGCCTGCGATGTTAGTATGCTAGTATGTGATGTTAGACTGAGACTCTACAGGGCTTACAAGGTCTATGTAGATGTTAGTATGAGGTCTGTGATGTTAGTATGTTAGTATGTCGTCTGTGATGTTAATATGAGGTGTGTGATATTGGTATGTTAGTCTGTCTATGATATTG